TTCTCCTCAGTGTCCTGCCATGTGCCCATTCTCATTTTTTAAAGAAAGAATGTGCCAAATGTTTATCTGCTAATCTGTTTGCCTTAATCTTTAAGGAATTTAAGTATGAAGGAAGCATTTAAAGTATTTAAACTAGTAAACTGATATGATTGATAACTGAGTTATTTGTCCAAAGAGATGATGGTTTGACTGTTTTAGAATAAATTATCTCCTCCAGAGGACTGTGATTTCAGAAAACTCAGAAGTTTGCTTTTGGCACAGTGGACACCATGTGGTTTCTATTGTCTGGAGCACTTTTCACAGCATAAGCTGTGGCATGAACTTCATCCTCTTCTGTTATCTTTGCCTTGAGCAACTTTGAAACGAAGCCAGCAGTTTTTGCTAGGAACAGATATGGATTTTCCATTCTCAGTGGATCTATGGCAGACAAATGCCGACAAAAATGAATTACTGCTGGGATTCATCCTCTTCCAGAAATCAATTGTGGACTGACCACATGACTATGCAATATCATGTGGTCACTTAGTCATTTTAGGAAGTGATGGAAAATTGAAGCAACTTCTGGGGAGGGTCCCACACTACTGTGAAATGTGCAGGATACTTTAGCTGTGAAAAGAGGAGGAGAAACAAAAGCCCTGGCCACTCTGTGCTTTTTTCAAAATAATTCTAGAAACACACACACACACACACACACACACACACACTAGACCTAAGGTACGTGCACATTTCATTAAAAAAAAAATACAAGTCTGCTGGAGTGGAAATCTGCCCTGGCCATAGAATGTGAAATAGAATAAAGATACAGCTTTCTTCATATCCAAGCTTACAATACTGTGTTGTAGGAGAGGCTGCTTTTGTCAACAGAATTGGTTTAGAATATAGCTGCCTATTTAACAAGGGCCTGGTGGCAGAATCACATCTCACAAGAGTTAAAAATAATGGCAGTGCTTCCTGATCGTTTTTTGAGGTGCATACAAGGTGATGATATTTATCTTTAAAAAAGAAACCAAGAATTAAGGATAGGGGTGGAATGTAGCTGTTGGCCCACTTTCTGTGGTGTCCATTCCACTTGAAAAATTGAAGTGTCACCGAAACAGTGTCACCGCTTTCTGTGATGTGGAGAATAATAATTGGGAAGGGAATTTTTTTGATTGCAGCAACATTCAAGTTGTGTTGGTGGCCAGCTGGTAAGCAGTAGCTTTGGGGATTTGAAGACAATAGGTTCAAACCAGGGTAAAAGGATTTTATTGAGTAAATATTAAGACACATAAAGAGGGGAAAAAAGTTAGTTATATCTAATCACATCCTTTTGGCTTGTCAAGAACTACATGAAATGACAATGGATGCCTGGAGCAATCTGGCAGCTGTATAGCACCTTCCTGGATCTTCAGGTCTACGTCCAGGTTCAAAATATTTAGGATATTTTGCAACTTCGTTATACTTTCGCAAGGGATAGGAAACATGAAAAATACATCACCTGGAGATGACTAGAAATTCTGGTCCCAATTGTCATCGTAAGTCAAGGACTACCTGTAGAGTTAAAAGGCTCAATGTGAGAAGGCTCAAGTTGCAAGAGGCTCAAACCAAAAGAAGTTATATTCAAATTCCAACAACTTGTTAAGTAACCCTCCTTGCACTTTAGACCACTTAAGCTACTGTTTTAAACTGTATATTCTATTGAGTTTTGATTGTGCCTTATTTGATATAACAGTGGTACCTCAGGATACGAATGCCTCTACTAACGAACTTTTCGGGTTACGACCAGCTCGGGATACGCCCAGAGTCATGGAACGCATTAAGTTCCTATCCCGAGGTACCACTGTACTATGATTTTCTTCATTTTATTTTTTATTTTTTGAGCACTAAAACCTTTTTGTTAACTTCT